AACTTCTGACAAAAGTAAGTGTTCAAAACACAAAATTAAAATGTTTGGAGACTTACTTTTCTATCTAGTTTACTGTTGGTCATCTTTTTGTTTTGTTTTTCTCCCCTGCCTTATTATGCAGTACCCAGAATTTTTCTCTGCTGGACACTTCACAAAGAAAGGACCAACCCAGAAACAGGTAACTGGCTGTTTCCCATCACAGTTATTGAATAAATGTGTCATAGTAATGATGAAATAGTAATTTAGAGTCGACTGCATAGAAATAATGTCTGAATATACACTGTGTGTATTCACACAATATCTGTTCAGATAGCTTTGACTATTTAAATGCATCTTCTGTTACTAAACATCAAAGTACGTAGAACTCAGATTAGGATGGGTCTGATGTATTTACGTGATGCATAGGTTTAGATGTTAGGAAGAAATTCTTTACTGTGAGGGGTGAGACACTGGCTCAGGTTGCCCAGAGGAGTTGTGAGTGCTACCTCCCTGGCAGTGTTCAAGGCCAGGTTGGATGGGGCTTTGAGTAACCTGCTCTAGTGGAGGGTGGCCCTGCCCGTGGCAGGAGGGTTGGAACTGGGTGAGCTCCCTTCCAACCCAAACCCTTTTATGATGATTTACATGCATGGCTTACAGCACCCAGTCTGTCAATGATGATGACAGAGGTAGACTGAGCGAGCAGCAAAAACAGAGGACTGAAAGCACTGAGAGAATAAATGGACTTTAGAACAGCAACAGTTCCAGCACAGTGGACGTGATTAAAAACATAGATGACATTATGCCTTTTAAGCAATGTCTCAAAATAACTGCTCTCATGTCTACATGGTTCATAGAATTTGGTGTAATAGATCCTTCTATTTTCTACTTGTTTGCTGGGAGTGAGTTACTCTTTTCGTGACCACACTTGTCTTGTCTACTACAGATGGATGGAACCTCTTTTACAATTACTTTTTTTGGTGAGGGTTACAGTGAAGGGCAAGATCCCCAGAGTGGCAAACCAAATGTAAAGATCTGCACTGAAGTGAAAGGACCAGGTATGTAAGTCAGTAGAAACTAACTGCTTTTGCCTCATACTCCCTACTTTAAAGTAGGATGATGGGTCCACTGCTCTTTCTTTCACCCTTGAGAAGCACTTGTAACGTGGACAAAGTTAACAGCCTTTACAGAGGATTGCCTTGGATACTAGCACTCACTGAGACCTGTTTTTTGAAACAACCAATTAATTTGTGTTCTTCTCATTCTCTTTCCTTCTGACTTTCCCATTCAAATTTTCATTTTTGCAGATTAGAGCAGATAGAGGGAGAGTGCTTTAAGGACTGTTTCCAGTTGTTACAGCCTGGACTTAATACTAGTTTGTTTCTAGTCCCCTGTAAGTCAACTTAGAGGTAGTGTGGTATCATTCCTAATTATAACATACATGTGCTCAGATCATTCTCTTCAGGGGAGATGATACCTGAAGTAAAGTTTGGAGACGGCAAGAAAACACTGAGAAAGGAGTTAATAATGCATAGCTTCTTTAAATAACTAGTGATGTAGCTGCAGCAAAGGTCTGAATTTCAGCCAGAGGCTGGGGGAAGCTCCTTTGACAGAGGGCTCTTTAATGAAGAGCCCTCTGTCACTGTGAGGCGATGGCTTGTGGTTGTGCCATTATAGGCCATATTTGTCCAGCTTAGATCTTGAGGATTTCACCAGCTACTTGGGAAGATGACCACATAGAAAAGCTGATCTTAAATGCAGAAGGCTGTTTCATTACCAAAGAGATTATTCTTCAGCAGGCTGTAGGTAAAAGCAAGATGAAATTCTACATTTCAACACACTGTACGTGGTGGTTGGTTTTTGTCTTGTTTTTGTCAGAGCCTGGCTACATTGCTACACCAATTGCAATGGTTCAAGCAGCTGTGTCTCTTCTGGAAGATGCAACTTCTCTGCCTAAACAGTAAGTACTTCCCATGCAGAGCAGCTTGATCTCCCCTAAAGCTACTGTGTGCACTTGTTTCTCTTTGAAAATATAGATCTCATAACCCTGTGGATTTCTGTGTTACCTCACTCAAATGGCTGTGCAAGGGAGATCTTTCACCACAAGCTGCTTTAAAGCCACTTATTCTTCATCTGCCTTTTAATTTGAAAGGATGTAGTTCAGAGGTTTTTAGTAGTGCTTTTGCATCGTGTATTGCATCAGTATTAAGTTTGCTGGATCCATAAATGAACCTATGAATATGACCAGCTTGCCCAGTTCTTCACAGGCTTTCCTGTGGGACAGAGTGGTGCTTTTTTTGGCAAGGAACATACATTTGACTTCTAAAAGAAGTGTCACTCAATTTCATTTTACCACTAATGTTTTTATTTTCATTAACAGGGGTGGTGTGTATTCTCCAGGAGCTGCTTTCTACAAAACAAAGCTGATTGATCGCCTTAACAAACGTGGTATTGAGTTCTCTGTTATTAGCAAGCCTGAAGTCTGAACTCAAAACATAACTGTATGAACTAACACCTTTCTGAGTCTAGTTCCAATAAAACTCATTTGGCTGCAAAAGCCTAATCGTTCAATAGTTACACTGTGCTATTGTTTATGGCAGAAACAGAATTAAAAATGAGTGTAAAGTTACAGTACTATCTGCTATAGTGAACAAACCCATAGAGGCTATGGAGTTTTAATTCACAAGCCTATTACTGGATGCTAGTTCTAAAATTTTGTTTGATCTCTTCCCATCTGAGTTTTAAGTTACTATATAATAGAACCGCTATAGCATCTGCTTCACCATTAAACACAGCCTTCTTCCTTCAACCCATTCCACCACTACTAAAAGCAGGCAGGCCACAGCTAACAAGTGCCTTAGCAGATGAAACCACTAGTTGGTCCTTTTGCTTGTTTGGGATGGTTCCTATGACTTCGTGGTGTTCTTCCTTCTAATGCCTTCAAGGCCATGGTGAAATAAAGGAGGAGTGGTGGTTTCTTGGAGTTCAGAGGAATAGTTTTGTCATCTTGTCCTGGGTTATAATAAAGATGAGCTGCCTCTGTGCTGTTGTCTTAAGGTGTGCTGACTTTCATCGTTACTAGCTTACCTGTAGTGAGCTGTGCTAAAAAAGGAGATGAGAGAAAGCCGAAAGAGTAGGGGATGTTGGTATGACCATGACTGCATTAAATTCCATTCCTGTGCAGAGGCACTTGGGTTTTTTTGTACCGGTAAAGCTTCTGAAAGCTCTGAAAGTTACTCTGAGGTACAAAAAGCTCTACATCTCCCTAAGGTTCATGACATTCAGCATCTTTATTATTGGGCAAATCACATGCAAACTGTTGCTCTCTAGTATGATAGCTGTACTGAAGATTACCTTACCCTATGGATGTAGTTCATTGTGTGGTGATGTTTCAGGTATGTCTTCTGAGCTTTGAGCCTTGACAGCACTGTCTTCAATAACTTAAAGGAGGCAGTATTATGGAGAGAGCATGGGTTTTATATGAACCAAGTGATTATAAGTTTTGTACTTACACTTAAATAAATCTCCTGCAAATACAAAAAAAATTTTTAAAAATTTTAACTACGAAGAGAAATATGGTCAAGAGAATTTAATCAGTGTGTAAAGACCTTTGCCCAAGCCTCTAAGTCATAGTGCTTGCCATCGATGGCAGGAAGGAGGAAGCCACTCCACAGGAGTCTCCACAGAATCTGCTTTTCTTGCCTCCTGCCTTGCCAGAAGTTGCTGAACTGTCACAAAATAGCAACATGCTATCCTTCAGAGCTCAATTTAGGAAAAAACTTCCTTTCATGCTTACATACCTATGAACAAGAAAGCTGCAAGTAGTTTGTCCTAAATTCAGTGAAGGTGGACAAGCCAAAATCCAACGCGCATGTATAAATCAGTAAGCACCAGTTACAACAAAAGCAGAAAAACCTTCAGTACTGCTACCTGAATGACTCCAGAAGCTTTGTGACTGCCCTCCCCTAAGTGATATATCTACTCCCAAGGCTATAATCATCTTTGCTACAGTATTGTCCCACATCGCAAAGCTATGACAACCTAAATAAGTGAGCCTCTTGTTTGAAGTGAATAGCTCTTTGTAACAGGCAAGAAAATGCCTAACAAAACTAGAGCATGACAATTTGTTAGTACATGGATGGAAAGCTTATGCATGTACGTACTAGCACACGCCCTGTTCAGCCCCTGATTTTGTAAGTTCCTTCACTAACTGCATAATGAGCTGAATCAGGGAATCTAACTGGCAGAACAAAAGTAGTAAGAAGTTGATGGCTTCCAGAGGGAGAACTCTACAAATGCTGTCCATTGTGCAAGGTGAGAGGCTAATCCAAGAGCTTTCGGGCTAGGGAACAGCCAACAGTACAGCTTTCTTCAGCAGAAGACACTGCTATAAAAACACCGCCTTTTCATATAGAAGCATTCAGGTCTTCCTAGCTCAGTAAAGATTTTACAGGGGATTAAAAGGAGGATAATGAAACTAGCTTCATGACACGGACAATATATAAGAAGAAAATAGAACTCCTGAGAGATCACAACTGCTTTGCTCAAGCAAGCAAAGACAAAAAGATCAGCACCAAGATGACAGGTCAAATGGTATTTCTTTTATTGTAACATTGTGATGGCTGTGAATGGGAACACAGTTTAACCCAAACAACTAATGGGTAAAATTACTGCAAAAAGCCATCACTGAATTCCACATAGGCTAACATCACTTAACCTACATCACTCAGCTGTCATTCACTGAACTGGATTACGAAACTGTAGCATATGCATCTTGCTTGTATATCAAACTATAGAGAACTATTGAGCACTTAAATGAGATGGTTAAGCCAGATACTGCACCTTTAAGGATCTAAGTATACTGAAAAGTCCAATTTTAACTTGGATCCATGCAATGAAAGCAAGTGGATTTCACAAACCTCCTGCACACTGCAACTAACTCAGAACTAAAGCCTTCCCCATTCAAGCCTGTTCCCAACATACTGCTCTGAAAGTTCTGTATGTACAATAACCACATACATGCATGCTGAAAAGATTCCACACTTTGAATCCAACAGTGTTTGCGTTAGTACTTTGGGGGGTTCATTTCGAAGACCGTTTACAGGCTTTTGTTGTGGTTGGTTGTTACTGGTCTTTTAGAACACAAACCTTAACTACCAGAGGAGTCTCTAGCAGATTCAGCTCTGATGCTCTTAAAAACTTCTTCTGTAAGGCGGAACATTGCGGATTTGAATTCACTGGGCTGGATGCCATGAGTGAAGTAGAATCTCTGCATGATGACTGCCAGCCACCACCCTGCTCTGCAGAACACGAAGGAACAGGACGAACCACCGAATCCAGCAATCTGTTAAGAGGCACAATTTCAAACAGGAACATAAACAATGCATGACAAAATTGTGTTCAAGAAATCTGAGATGATACCTAACAAAAACACTGAACGAGAAATCACTTCTTTACCGTTTGTGCTTAATGTCCTAAATCTCCGCCTCTGAGGCAAGAATAACCCAACTTTAAGTTGAACAAGTGACGTAACGCATGCGTCAGAAGGAAATTCCTCTACCTGTCAATGCTGGGACCACTTCGAATTCTCTACTTCTCAGTGTGTTCCCCTCAGCTGACCTTTTCTTTAGCAGATACAAAACCCAATGCAAACAGAAGACTTTGCAAAGACAGACAGAATACACACGCATGCATACGCACACGTGTACACACACACACACACACACACACACATGTATGTATTTACAAATAGGAGCCCTTTCTTGAAACACCCATTCTGTAGATCTACTATACCTGGAACGTTTCTGTGAGAATTTTGTAACTGGTGTCCCAACAAATGCATCGGGCAACTCTGCAGCAGGGAGAGGATGTGCTGGTGGTTCTGTAGCTCTAGGGCTAGAACTGAAAGGAAAATGTAACTGATGATGGTACCAATTCTGAAATGCTATATACTGCATGTGCAAAAAACCCAGACAAAGCTTTCTTCAGGTCACCTTCCCTCCAAAACACTAACGTAATTGACATGGATTTCTCTCCCTTTCCAAATACACAGCTCAAGATGAAATGTTATTAAAAGGCTGCTTACCTATCATACTGTAAAAAACTGGTTTTCTGCTCATTTCCTACCCACACTTCTCCAATTTTGGACAACACGTTACTGATGAAAGTTGCTCTTGTATGCACAGGTCCTGCATTAGCTTGTTTTGCTACTGTTGATAATGGCTTTGGTCTTGCAACTGGAATGCAAGAGAGAAAGAAGATCACCCTTGTGGAATCAAAGCGCTGGTTACTTGTCCAGTATATCTGCCCCCTAAAAATTACCTTCTCTTAAGACTGAGGAAGGCAAGTGGTAAGGCTTGGCTCTCTCTAAAGCCAGCTTCCTTTGAACTCTAGGAAGGATCTTGCCATACTGTTCTAATATAGAATTTCTGGCAACTGCTCTCTCTCTCAAGCGAGGATCACGATCACCCTGATGAATGAAAAGCATAAAGCAGAACATTAACTGATTACAAGTTCACTGCACCTCACCACAAGCGCACCCAACCACAACCAGTGAGTAACTCCTAACATATACTTGCAAATCCAACACAAATATTACACTTACCAGAAGATTAACCTTCATTGACTGATTCAACTGCAGTGCTGGAATATAATTGGAACGCTGCAGACGGTGGACTAGAAGAAATTCATGATTCTGATCACCAGCACGGGTCTGCAGAAACTTCTCCAGACACTCCTGTGGGAAAGAACACATTGGAAAAATCTACTGTGCTTCTGCCTCTTCTCTTTCCAATTCAGATTTTTTTCTTGTCCACACTTACCTGTTCAGAGTCGGTGAAAGGCAGCTTCAGCAAGTCTTCCATTAGTCCCATCTCCTGGCAGAGCTCATACATGTGCTTTAACAGCTCTTCCGTATTTAACTTAGTCGTGTGTTGGTGCAACAGAGCCCAGGCCTCCACCATGCACCTGCAGTTCATTTGGTTGAGATACAAAGGAATACCAGTAATTCATTTGGCTGAAATGCAATGGAATACTAATAGCATAACCCCAAAATGGCCCAAACTACTGTATTCAAAGCTTTAAGGAAATGTAGGGGTTGGTGATTTGTGCCCCTTGTTCTGCACCCGTCACAATACTGGAGTGCCAGAATGGAGGGACAGGTTCTTTTACCTATTGGACAACAACACGGTGAGGAAAAGCCGAACTTCACTACTGCTTGACATCGATGGCTTCATCATCTGTAAGTATCTGAGGGCTCGTCTGTGCTCTCCTTGGCTCATGAGGGCTTGAATAATCCTCCTATGTTGCCAGGACACAGTTTTGATCGTAGCTGGATGAAAGAGCAGGGCCAGGGAATTCTGTAGACGGTAGAGATCAGGTTTATTATGATACATACAGCCACACGTGTAACAAAGATATTCAAAAGTTTCTGACAAAATCATTTAATCACACAGAACAAAGCGAGTGCTGTAAGAGGAGTAATTCACACTTGTCTAGGTTAATCACCCATCTGTATTCAAACAGCACTCCTTATAAACACGTTACTAAATAACATATTGTTCTGTCAGACTAACAGATTTTATAACATCATAAAGGACAGCCTTAAGCATCGGAAAGGACAAGAATTAGGTTGAAAAGTCACTTCTGCGTCCTTACGTCTCAAACCTTGCCGCTAGAATCACAGTGCTCCTATCTAGAGGACCCACCATATGTGTCAATAAATCATTTTGCTTAAGTATTGTTATTAAGCATCTAGACAGCGCTGTAGAAAATTCAAGAAGGGCAAATGTTAATTTTCGATAGCTGTGCAGGTTGGTTCAAACAGAATTTATCTTCAAGGCTATTTGAAGAAAGAAAAAGCCCAAATTTCTGATTTCTGAATGAACAGCTCTGGTCATATATATTACCTGCATAAGGGTACATGCAACATGAGAACATCTGTTACAGTGATTAGATCATAGAAGGGTCCCGATGCCAGCAACTGGTGATCATGGGGCGAGTGAGTTAAGCATCAGCAACCCAAGCCAGGTCACACGTGACAGAAGCCCACATGCCTGTGGTGTCAGCAGGGAGTGTCTCAGCACCAGCAGCTGCACTGGGAACCACAGTCACGGGACACATGTGTCTAAGGTGCAGCAAGGGGGGGGGCATAGCGGCCATACTTTCTCCTAGCCACATGTTCACATCTAAATTGGTAGCAGACTCCAGGGTGGGCTTGTCAGGGAGCAGGAGGAACAACCACCCCTGGGAAGATCGGTGTCCCAGCCAGGAGTGAGAGGTGGGGGCACAGAGCACAGCTGGGCTCGAGGCTGTGTTGATCTTCTGGGGCTCTCTAAACGTGGGTGTACATGGGAACCTACAGCGTGACAGCATGCTTCTGGTGTCAAAGCTTGCATTGCAACACGCTGGAGGACAGATTTGTAATATCCCTTCACTGTTTGGCAGGCACTGGCATCAAACATTAAGCTTTGCAACAATAAATTCAACTTGGAGAAGCAGCCTGGTCTGTAACACTAAGACTATGGTTAAAAATTAAAAGTAAAAATAAAGAACCAGGGCATAATTATTTTCCCTCTATCCAAGGACTGTCTACAACAGCAGTAACTCAGCTTCAAATTAACATTTTGCATTTCCATGTTGCTTTGGTGAGCAAGAGAGGAAGAATGAGTTTTCACTGCGGTGTTTATCACAGGAGTGCACAGTGGATGATGTTAAAGGCAAATAGAAGCATGCTCACAAATGGCATTCTTGCATCATTTCTGCTGGCACAGAGCTGAGAAGGCTGGTTATGGCAAAAAAACCAAACACATAGTACTCTTTTGGAAGGGAAGGAAGGGAAGTAACACAGCAGTAAATCACAAGCAGCCTTCAGTAATCAGGGTGATACTTTGGTAGACATGGGAACTACTGCACAGGAGTGAAGCTTTTTGCTTACAGCAGTGCTATAACACTAGCACAGAAGGATGATGATGAGTGAGAGAATCCAGCAGGTACAAAAGCTGTACTGCAAGGCTAAAGACATCTCTCCTACTCTACAGGGGATGTATGGCACTATAAAGCTTCTGTATCATATAAAGGTGTGCAAAAGAAAACATTAATTTTCTTTACTGAAGTGCTGCAAAGACTATCATGAATACCCTGTGCAAGAGTGAAGTTAGGAAGTGTTAACAGTTGTTAAAAGATCAGCTTGCTTTATGGTAGGTAAATGAAGATCAGTGCTTGAACAATTAGTAAAAAAGATTTAAGAGTCTTTTAAAGTACAAGCTGGAAAGATCTTGGAAATAAATGACACTGTGTGATAATCCCACCTGGCATTGCTCATTCTTCTCCCAATTCCATGTGCTTCTGAAGAGCTCTTCGCACACAACGGGCATCAGGCCTCTGCACCGTATCTGATCATCGCATGGCTCTGCCCTGAGCCAGCCTGACTGTACACCAGCAGAGCAGTGCTGTAACCTTGCCAGGCGTTCTCCAGCACTCCTTGACCACAACCATGAAAGACCGGTCTAAAACATTACCAAACCCATCTTCATAGGTGAGCAAGCACAAGCCCACACAAGCACTGCTGTTTGGAAGGATTGCCCCCACTAAGAGTTTAATTGGGAACCAAGATTTGCAAACACACTTGAAAGTAATATTGAGTTACAAGATGACAGAAATGCAGATGAAGTCTAGATAATGTTTCAAACCGGTAAACTGGTAAATGCCAGTCATTTGCATTACACTTGCATGAATGTTAATAACAGGAAATAAACAAACTGACCAGTCTACAACTGTGTATTAGCTAAAACTGCTTTTACTTGGTTCTTTGCATAAAAGCTTACCTGACCTGTGTAAGTGTTGGATCCTGGCAAGATGAGCATACAATTCTTGTCCTTTAAGAAGCCACTATGAGACCAACAGGCCAGATGGAAAGTAAATGTTTTCCTGTGTCCTGGATTCCCAGGGTCACACATGCTTCTGCTGTTGGTGCTCACAAAAAATCACACACCTACTTCCTGCATCCTTCTGTCTTCGTGGATTAAAACTACAATTGTAGTATCAAAACAAAAGCAATCAGTCATTCGCTAATAATTCACGTTTTAGTCTGAACTTTAGTCCAGCAGCACTGCGCACCCCACTAACAACTGTTGTGGGATAAACACAGCCAAGGAATAAGTGACCTGAACAAACGGACATTATCAGTAACCATAACTTCCATTTTTATTCTCTACCTCACATATCGGCCATCCACACAGCAGAGCGCATTGGAAAATGCATTTTATTTTAGGAACAGCTTTACTTTAATTCAAAAGGAACCACAGTACATTTATCCGCAAGCATATCAAAGAGACTCATTATCTTGACTGCTGAAAAAAGCATTCCTGGAATGAAAACGTGGAAGCCTTGCACAGAAAGCAAAAGTACAAACAAAAGAGGAAACAAATGCTATCTTATTACTTGAAATTCTAGTGTTTCTAATATTTTCGGATTGCCCTAAGCTAATGGGTTGCAAGTACTGCCTAACAGCTCATGACAAAGTATGTATTGGCTTCTGCCTGTAGCTTTTTTTTTCCTTCCCCACCAGAAACCACCAGCTAAGCACTTCCTGATTGGTTACATGGGGACTGATGAATATTGCAGTAAAGAAATTTATTGCACTGACAACCCTGAGAGTAGTCTTCCATGCGAGGAAGTTTTGATGGGGGGATTAAATCAGTTATCTGCAGCCTTATTTGCATGCTGGCTATATAAATATTAAGGCAAATAACCTAAGTCAACGTGAATCAGTTAACACCTTAAGCACTAAGTGGCTATCAAAAGTAAATCAAATTTAAGTCTCTTTCATGTTCCAACCTAGAATGAATATTTTCCTCAGCCTTGGCTTCCAAACATTTGAAGAAAAGGGTCTTGGGAGTATTTGTGTTAACTCTCTGTAGTAACCCAGGGAACCATTTCTAATGACACATTTCTCGACAAATCCCCTTTTGACACCATCCCTTAACCTTATTAATATTCATTAGCCCTTCACTAATACCTCCTACTCTGTGTTTCCTGGAAATAAAGTCTTATCATTACACCTATTTCTATTCTTTCTAGAAGGTGACAGTCTGCTGCCTCAAGGCAGACAACCTTCCAGAGGAATTTTCTCCGGGGTTAGAGCCCCAAAGGTACACATGCACAATTTAGCTTCGGCTTTCAGCCAACTAACATTAGATCAAAGCAGATTCCTCAAAACACTGTGAGAAATTCACACTTTTTCTTTAGGGGGAGAAAACCCACACCCCTCAAGTAATTTAATTTCCTATGGAAAACCTTCAGAATTGCTCTATTTCGTGATGAACTGTACTGAGTAGCCTGCAGAAAATTCTCATCTTGCTCTCAAGAGAATTGCTGCTCTCTGGCTCCATAGCCTTTTGCACACGTCCACAAGGACGCATCAACCCCTCTTGCCTTCACAGACCCCTCATGCCCTCCTCCGGCACCATGAATATTATCTTCCTCTCAGGTACAAGTGCAAACAGCTGCAATTCTCTATGAAGGCTCCTAGCCCGCTCAGTCACTCAACCCCAAGCCATTTTGATCTTTTAAAAGGCACTGCCCATGCACTCAGGCATTCTCACCCTTGTTGAAATGATCAGTTCCACTCTACCCTTCATGTACTTGTCGCAAGCCTACACAAAAACCAGCCAAGTTAAATCAATTTTCTTCACTTCATTACAAAATCATCTTTGCCTTGCCATTTTATTATTAACTAGTTACACTTCCTTCACCTGGGCTGTAAAGAATGGATTTTGGCTCTGTTTCCTTCTGTCCTTTAAACTTTCTGAAATCCCATTCCTTGTGACGCATGACATTTACAGCCTTTTTAAACTGCTCCCTGGGGAAACTGGTCAGCACCCAAGAAAGATGCATTAAGTAACAGAAAAAAACCCCAAAACAAACAATAAACCAAAACCAACGCACAAAACCTCCCCAAGCCCAGAGGTCAGATAACTGTATTAAAATTCCTTTAAGATAAAACATGACTAGACCACTTCAAACCTTTACAGGAAGTTACTAAATCGCATGCCAATCTTTTTGTTATGACTATTGCTTTCTTTTCTCCCTCCAAAGCACTGCCAAATGAGGATAATTTAGCTGAGCTGGCTATAATGAAAAGGCTAAAAATTGCTAAAAATTAATCATAAAATTAGCTAATGTTTTCTTTAGTTCTAATTGATTTTCATATAAAAAAGTACTGTGAGAAACATATGAAACCCCTGTGAGGCAATCTTCACGAGCCTTTCATCAGTCAATTCTGCCTGATCAGGAATTGGAGTATTTAATAATTAATCTTGTGAACCACACAAAACATACAGATTTGACACCCACTTTCTATTCTAGTTTGGAAAGTTTGATCTTTTACTCCATTTTCTGAGCTATTCAC